TTATTTAAAGTACTTACTGAAATGGGTATGAAAGAGTTAAACAGTTCAAAGATATGATAGCTGAGAAAGATGCTGAAAATGAAGCAAAAGCAATATTCATAGAATCGATCACTAAAAAATAGGGAGAATGGGATTTTTGGGGAAAAAAATGCTGGACCTAAAAGTTCTTGTCTTATCTCTTAAGAATTCAGAGACTGCACTAGTGCTCAGAGAATCAGAGCACGAAATGAGAGCTGAAACACAGTGCTAGGGAGAGAAAAGGCCCGCTGATGTACTGCAGAAGCCCAGGATAAAGGACAAGCTTTGTATTCCAGAATTTGTGTTTGTGTACAGTGGCTAATAGGGGCAGCCAATAGTTCATATTCTTGGACTGGCTTTAAGCATAATTGAAATGTATGCGTAACTCAATTGCCTAAGGACAGACTAGGAATTGACTGCAGTTAGTATAAATACTAACTTAAAGAAAAGGCCACTTTGAAATCAAGGATGAGACACATGGCATAATTTGGGGAGAAAAGAATCTCAGGTTATTAAAGGAGAACTTTAAAGATATAAATAGAGCTAGAACAGAAGCAGTTTTCATAATTACAGGTGGGTAATGTTTTTGAAAGTTTCCTGATATGGGGAGTTACTTTCAGAATCACACTGGGTGCTCATGTTAACATGGTGCATGAAAGAAATGTCTTGATTTATTTCTAGAGAAAAATATTTAAGATGAACAAACTATGCAAAGGCTCATTGTAGTCCGTGTACTAGGGCACAGAATTTCTAGATGAGATAAGCACTACCTAATAGCAAATAGCAAAGGAAACCTTGATAAATTTTCTCAGGTTCTTCTATATGTTTGACTTTCTGTACAGTGGTTCCTTCCAGGTGAATGGTACCTGGAGTCTGGTATCTGGGTCATTGCGTACATTCTCTCCTTAGGTTTCAAGAGACACTTTTATACCCATCTGAGCCTGTTAAGAGTTAGAACCTTGTTCTAACTTCAAGTGGAAGGCTGCCTTGAGGTTCGTAGAATTCTTGACATTAAAAAATTTCAAAGCCACTTTCTCTAAAATTTCAGAAGAAAGTTTCAGTTAACCATTCCCAGCTTCTCGGGGGGTAAGGGTTATGGGGTGGGGAGGATTGCACTAAATTCCTAAACATTTGAAGTCAGCTCTGAAAATTTCTTACTCACCCCATCATTTAGCCTTTCTAAGACACTGTCCTTGCTGTGGAAACCAATCAAGAAAATAATTATGCTCTTATGTCCCTCTTATTATGCTTTATGATATTTAGTTTGCCAACAGTTTTCTTAGCAACATGCCTTAATTATGTGTTCAACTCTATCCTACCTCTTTGTGTTGCACTCTATCACCCATGAACTCACTTTAGCAACAGCAGCAATGAAATCCTACATTTTAATTCCTTTTTGAGTCATAGATTACTGATTGTAAGTGTATGTGGGGAGACAAGGTAGCATCCTCAATAAAAATAAAAGGTCTATAGGTTTTAGAGTCAGACTTCCTTAGTTCAAATCCTGGTACTCTATTTTGCCACAATATAATCTTGGACATGTTATTTTAAAAGCACCAGATTTTCATTTTGTTAACTTCTTTGCTTACTTAGTCAAATGGCAATAATGACCCTTATTTAATTGGACTATAAGAATTAAATGGCAGAATATGTGCAAAACACTTAGCAATGTGCTTTGATGCATAATTAGTATTCACCAAATTTATAACTGCTGTATACTTCTCACTAAACCAAACTTTTCTCAGGAACATATATGGCTAATATTTAAAGTGAACTAGTGCATACTCTGTGTTCTCAAATGTACAGTGTTCATGGTTACACAAAAACTTTCCATTTCTGTGTACTAGATACATGAATTTGGCATCAATGAGATATTTTTCCTTGCAATTGACACAATCTTTAGTTCAGTAATATCATTTTTTTTGTTTCTATGTCTTGTACATTTTCTCTATCCATGTAAAATTCAGGTGAGATACCTAAATTTCTCAAACCTTGCTTTTCCATGTGGTAAAGATTTGTCCTCCAGTACTAAATTGAAATACTGTGACTATGAAATACTATTGAAATACTGTATATTGAAATTCTATGACTTTTACTTACCAGACTTATAAAACCCTCAGGTTTTTTTTAATCTGAAAATTAACTTCAGTATAGTATTTTATCAGTTACTAAAGTATCTCATTCTTAATGTATTTCCAAGTTGAATTTCTAGCCTGATGACATAGAAATAACTAATTCCTCTAGCACAGGAAAGCTATCAGAAGACTAAATATTCTTCTGCCTGTGTTCCAAACATAAAATTGCTTGTTGGAAGTAAGAATTGAATGAATTGTTCAATTACAATCTTTAGTAAATTTATTCATTCATTCAAAACTTATTTGACTGCCTGTTATGTGCCAGATGCTATGATAACTGCTAAATGTATGTGTGTGTGTATGTATATGCACACACACATATATATATATAGTCACACACATGTATAGTCTTTATAGTTCTATAAAGTGCTTTTGATTGAGATTATATCATTTGACATTTATAATAATCCAATAAGGAAGGTGGATGCTCCATTTTAAGATAAAGAAAGTGATTATAAGAGAGACCAAGTGATTTTCACATCATTCCATAATTGAGTAGTGGACAGAAACTGGATATGGTCTGTTAAAACTTTGTTATTTCTAATAAAACTATACTCATTTTAGGGTTTTTTGTTTGTTTGTTTTACCACATAGTCAGAAAAAAAAATCTAGTTCAATACATATCTTTCTCAAGACTTAAACCTTAAGATAAAGTCTCCTGCCATTGCCTCTTTCAGCCTTAGGTACACTATATTTCTGAATGATGAGTTAACACATAGAAAATCAATTATGCAGAGTTGGAGGTCCTGGGAAAACCACTTGGATTCTTTAGCTAATATATAATGATTTCGGGTTGTCTGACTAATGAAGCATAGAATGCAGTGTTTCTCTCTAAATGGTGCTATTTCAACACTCAGCCTGGAACTTTATCAGAAATGCAAATTTAGACAAACAGAGCTGTCTGTGCATCTGCTGAGTCGAACGGTCTCTGAATGCTTATGCATTCTTTCTTTTGGCACACCTGAGGCTCTGAGAGCTAGAGAAAATAATCAAGACCACATATTAATAAAGGATGGGACCGACTTTTGAACCATCACTCCTTTCCTATATAAATCTGAGTCTCCTGATTGGTTCTCATCTCCTTACAGAGAGAGGGGACCCTTCATTTCTGCAGTCTCAGTGCCAAGTGCACTGTGTGTGCTCATTAAGTAAGTATTGGATTCTCTGCATGGTGAACTTTTCTTTCTAGTACCAAATATGGGCTTTTGCACCAGATGTGTTTCATTTCATGGGGCTGGGTTTTGAACTGGATGAGCCAGTCATGGTTGCCTTGTCGTGCAACACTGGATTGACTTTAAAAGCCTGCTTAATCCAGTAAGTGTTCCATGCTTAAAAACTTCTCAGTGAACTCATGGTATCTGATGTGCCTGCACCCAAATGCACATAGACACGTGCCTTATGGGTATTGGTTTTTAATATTATGAACTAAGAGCTGTCCCTTAAAATTTCCATTCCTTTTCCTATATCTCGTGCTGGAAGAGACATATAATTTAATCACTGCAGACATATAATTTAATCACTTCTATAATACAGTGTTTTCCAGTTATAGCCGTTTAAATACAAGGCCATAGAGGTACTTTTTTCTTCTAAAACTATCCTCCTTCCATCCCCATGAGCACAACTAACACCAAGACCAGGGATGTCTTCTGTACAATATCTCCCATGAAATTTGAATTTCAAGAAAAAAAAAAAGGGACAAAAGAGAATTACCTTAAGGGCATGTTAAATATTTAACTAAAGCATTCCTTGGTAGGTGTAGATAATTGCTAATAAAAATTGGTGAATATTTAAAAGTTCAATTGCCTAGAATTTTCCCAAAGTAAATGAATATTACAATGAGTTTTCTGCCCTTAACAGATTTATTACAGTTAGATATTATTCAATATAAAATTACCTATTAAAATCACAAAATTCTCCATAAATGTATTTTATTATATATAAATACCTTCTATTATACTCACGTATGTCGTCTATTTTATATATATATAATGCTTCCTTCCTCTGAAAAAGATCTCTTACTAGAAAGTAAGTTCCATGATGGCTTTGATATTTTTCTCTTTTGTTCACTGTTATATCTTCAATGCCTTAAATATACCTGGCATGTAGTAGATAATCAATATATGTTTGTTGAATGATCAGTGAAACTAAACTTAAGGATTTCTCATGGCAACAATTGCTTTATGCTAGGCACTAGCTTGGCGCTGGTGATTTGAAGATGAACTTGACCTGTTTTCTGTCCTTCAGGACCTAACAGGGTGTTGATTTAAAATTCTCTAGGGTAGCAAAGCTTTCAATAATTCCTATGTCCCAAATGTGGAAGCCAAGGCTAAGTGACACTGAGGGATTTGCTCAAGTTCATATACCTAATTGGTGGCAGAGCCAGGACTGGAACCCAGGATTTCTACCAGAAATTTCTTCTAAAAATTGTCCTGTTTTCCAAAGATTAAAATGCACATGCTTTGAGCCAGAAACCTATATGAGTAAACCTGAAGCAGCTCCCTAGTGGTCTCAACCTCTGGCATGATTCTCAGTAAGAGACAAAGTGGATAGTTGAGAGGGTCCCAGGGAAGTCACACCTGTCATGTGACTTATGAACATATAAGAGTTCTAGGGGAAGGATTTATCCTCAGAGTCTACAGAATTCTTGAAAATATGAGTAAGCTTCATGAGAAAACCACTGAATGATAGTTTTCAGCTCTGGAAGGTCCTGGTCTTAAAGCCCCAAAAGAGGATCATGTGATTTTATTGATCTCTAAAGATAAGCAAAAATGACTATTATGGGCATTGCATGTTGAATTATTACTCTTGACACTTGTAGTTACATCAGTATTGCTTTATGTCCCAAAGGAAAAAGGTGCTGATAAAATACCAAAGACTGGAACAACTGGTATCAAACCATACTTATGTAAGTAAATATGTTAATATATGGTAAATGCCTTATACATGTACATATATCTTTACATTTTGTGTTTCTACACTTAGGAGTGTATTTTAAAGAAACAATCTCAAAGAAATTTTTGAGAAAATGGTATATTTTATATATTATTTAAAAATAGTGGAACAAGAAAACATTCGATGTGGTATGACCTTAGTGTTCTGTAAGAAGTCTGTGTTTGTGTACATATATTCATTTCATGACTACCGAACAACTACATAAAACATTTCATTTCTATAAAGGAAAGTTGTGATCATTTCTTGCATAATGATCATTTGCAGTTGAAAATGATTTCATCAAACAGGATTTCACATTCTCAAGGTGCTGTTTCTCAAATAGTAGATTCCTAGGAACCAAAGGAAATATTTTCAGTGATTTGGGGAAATTATTTATTTCCCTTTAGAAGAGACTGTGCATTACTTAAATTTGAGAAATACTATTTATTATAAAGTGTAAAGTTCTCTCTGTATGTGTGTGCTAACACAGAGAAAAATATCCTGAAAGGAGATAAACGAAAATATTGACTGCTATTTTCTTTACAGAATCTTCTTTGTCTTCAAGACTGTATGTTCCCCTACCCCCAAAACAAATAAATAGAAACCAGTAAATGTCATATTAAAGCCATATCAAATTTACTGGTCATTCCCTAAATGAGGTAGGCCAAATACAACTTCCTCGACTCTACTATCTTTTATTTAGGATCACTTTTAACTGAAAATTTCATATATCAGTTCTTGTAGCTATCAGCTACCATTTTCCAATTTACTAGTTGATCCAGTTCTGTGGAGAACATTTTATCACTTTTGAGATCTTTGGGCATATGCTCTATAAAATTGTAATAGCATTACTGATTAACTTCATGTTATTTTCACACAGAATAAGATATTTCTTATGGTCTAAATGGAAGTATATGATAAAATGTAAATTATTAACTCTATTACTATTGGTATTAATAATAATTTTAATTATAGCTTGAGTAATGAATGAGTCTGACTCTCTACAGAAAAAAGAAAAGGGTTATATAAAAGGAAGAAGTTTTTATGAATCACTTAACTTTTTGTGGCATTTTATTTGTGAGATTGGTATTTTTATCTTTATTTTTAAATAAGTGAACACAGAGAGGTTAGCAAATCGGATCAAGGCTACACAGATTGTATATAAAAGACACTGCCGAAATTTGAATTTGGACCCTCTCTCTTGAAATCGATCCTTTCGATCATTACTGTGTGCTTCTGCTTCTCAAATCCCTTTGAAAATAAGTCCAAGTGTCTTATATTGTCCCATGCAGGCTCATTATTCCCATTGTAGGTCCTGCGTACCATATCTCTTCCCTTCTCCTGACTGTTCCCACCCAAACCAGCTTCCTCATGCTCCATCATGAGACCCAAACTCACCTGCCTTTTTTCTTCTCTGTCTTTGACTCAATTAAAAATAGTATTCATGTATTTTATGCTCCAGGTTTATCACTATAGCCCACATATATTAGCTGCTAAGATACATACAGTTAGGGTACAGATATTCTTCAGAGAATAAGTAACTCCACAGTGCTATCACCTCATCAAAACTTTCTAAGATGGCAGCATTTATTGTCTATGCCAATTCTGTGCCAGAGGAGAATTGACAAAACCCATGTACTGAATTTGCATGGGGCAACCATAGAGGGTGTAGGAATAGGCATTGTAAATAGGCAGATCTGGATTTGTGTCTGAGTTCTGCCTTCTAGTAGCTGTCTTAGAGTGGGGTCTAGTGGAAGCAGACACAAGACAAGGGTTCAAGCAAAGGAGATCCTAGGAAGTGCCAGTAGGGAAGTGAGTAAGATAGATTGGAAAGTGTAAGAAATTAACAAAGAAAGCATTAGTCAACAGGTTACAGTTGTGCGCAACTGAGACTAAGTTCCATTTGGAAACAAAGAGAGTGTAGAACATGCCTCAGTGTTGTCCCAACGAGAAGGACAAAGAAACTAAAGTTTTTCTTCCAACTTCCGTCATAATCTGAGTCATACTCCTGAGACCATTAATTCCCTAGCCTTTGTGATCTACCCACTGAACAGGTGAAACATGTGCGCGCACACACACACACACACACAGACACACACAACTTAGGTGAGGAGTTATTGAAGGACCCTATCAATACATAATGGAACTATGAGTGTAATGTGGCTATGGGTGGGGCTCCTCTAGGGCCTGCTACATGAGGTGGAATATTTAACTCTCTCACCTTCATCTGTAAAAAGGACACAAAAATCACAAAGTGTTTTCAAAGGTTATTTGGAGTAGCATGAGTGATATCCCTAACACAGTGCCTAACACCAAAGTACGCACACAGAAAAACAGCTATATTTCACTGTTAAGGGATAGTTGACAAAAGATACCTTTAAATATATTGAGGACACTCTAAAAATGTTTTAAGGCCATCAATTCTCTGGGCCACATGATGAAAGTTCTTGCAAAATAATATTTGAAGTGCTTTTATCTAGAGAAAGAAGTGCTTTATTTGCAGGTGGGGTTAGCAGTAGGGGTAAATTATGAATCCACTTACTAAGTTGTAAATGTGTATTAACTCCTGGGAAAGGAAAGGTCAGGTAGAAGGAGGGAGGAAGTGAATTAAAAGCATCCTGCTAAGTAATTGTAAGAACCTAAGAAAAGACTAGAGAAATTATTATGGTGCCACATTCTGATTATGGCTATGTCTACATTGAGCAAGTAGGTCAACTTACTTAACTAAGAGAAGAAATAAAGGATACAAAAGGAGTTGAGCTAGAAACAATGAAATCTTTGGTTGCTCTCTTGCAGTGTGGACTTCTACATATATCCATTTATCAAACAAAGTTATTTGTACATTGTATTAGGTAGTCTCTGTGAGTGCCTGTATATGCAATGCCTTTGTTTGTATTTATCTTACTATGAAATAGAATTCTTTGGAGATTCCACAGTTGCATACCTTTCCATGTACAGCAAAAGCAGCAAAATGCACAGTATAAAATAAACCCCCATACAAAATAAAATAACTTTAAGACCATTAAAACAGGGTATTTTATTTGATATAACTAAGAAAATTAAATGCTCATTTAGGACTATTTCAGATTCAAACTTAATTTAAGGCTCATCTTAGGCTTGAAATTTAATAGTATACAGTTCCGTGTGAAATAGAAAAAAAAGAGAGCCCTGAGTTCAAATTATGATTGTGTAGAATAGATATGAGACAATAACATAAACCTTCTGCAAGCCTCAGTTTCCAGGCTTCCACAGTGGGAGTAGTAATACTTACTTGGATGAAATATGCCTCTTCCATCCCAGTTAGTGCACTCCCGATATTCCTGTTAAATTTAGCTCGTAATTCTGAGATAATTCATTTGATCAGTGCACCTATAGGATTTTTCATAGTCCAATACGTGACAAATGAACATTTTTCACAAATGAGCTATGCGGAACATATTACTATCTGGCATAACTTTATAGCATATGTGTGTGGACTGCCAGGAATACCACATATGTATTTGTTTATTTACAATATTTATTAATGACTGTTATATATGGCACACACATTTTCAAGAACCTCAGAAAAAATATACTTAAGACCTAGTCATAGTCCAGAAGTTGATTGTTTTAATAGGAAGTATATGTATACAATTAACATTACCTGTAAAAGAAGAAGTGTTGGGGGTATTTGGAGGAAAAAAAATCAAGAATTAGTGGTTATAAATAATATGTACAAGTGACCCTCATGGAAACAGTGGGTTATATGAAGGTAAAAACAATAATTTAGAGCCAGTTTTTGGGTTTAAGCCCTAGTTCTGCCACTTACTGTCAGTATGGCTTTGAGAAAGCTCTTTAACTTCTAGATGCTTTCGTTCCCTCTTCTTTAAAATGAGATTGTGGTGAGGAGTAAATTTTTCTTTAACACAAGAAAAACAATACAGTGTATGGAATGTGGCAAAGGCTGATTGTTAATCTTTATTATAATATACTAAATTTTAGGTGAAGGACTTTTTGAACACCATTTAATCCTGTCAGTACTATGAATTAAGGCTGGTGTCAACTTCATTTTATAGATGGGTGAATTTGGTTTCAAGACATTATTTTAACTTGCCTAATTTTATACAGATAATATATGGCTGAAAGAGGTTTTGTTCTATGTGACTCTAATACAAGCTCTTAACCATATTGCTCTTTGAAAAACCAGGCATAGCAAGAAGTTAAGGCAGGATAGTATCCTTGTTGGAAATCCAGATTTGGACCAATAAAGGATGTTGGCATGAAAAAAGAGCTAGAGAGAGAGAGAGAGTTTATAGTCTTACAGCTGTGTCTGAAAAACAGCTTGCTAATTTATTAGGAAGGTACTTTATGTTTGGTGTGATTAATAATGTAATTAGGGTTAGAGATAAGTTTTATCTGACGTTAAAAAGAGTTGGAATATTGGTTGGTGAAAAAAAAAACAGTTGGAAAAAATAACCCCTTTTTTTAAACAGGGGTTATTGTGTTTCCCTATGTATGGTTGAGATACGTACTTGTAAGTATGTATCCCAAATCTCATTTTTTTTTCCTATTCAAGAATCTGAATTAGCATAAGTTCCTGAGATCAAGAGATGACTCAGCAGATGGCATCTGACAAGTTTCTGAGTTCTAAGCAATCTGCTATGGGAGTCCAGAAAGGCAAATAGCTAATTCTGATTGGGTGAGGCCAGAAAGGTAATCATGGAAGGTTAGCTTTACCTTGAGCTGTGAAAAGTGTGTAAGCTATCATTCTTCTATAATGAGTGTTTTATTGATAGTACATTTAAAACCCTTTGCTCAATTACCTTTTATTTTACTTCCTTCAAAACTCTCTATTCTCTAGGTGGCCATCCACTCAGTTACCTGTTCCAGAAACAAGTCATTAAACATATCCAGCAGTAAACAGTAAATATACTCAAACTGGCCCATCTTGCAGGAAGTACATAATCAGCAAGTAAAGATGGGTTAATAGGACCTCTTGAATCTTGAATGGGGGTTTTCCTTAGCTGCAGCAATTAATGTGTTTGAAAATTAGAATTAATAAATAATCATAGCAAGTTCAACCTCAATTACCATTACAAATGTTTGTATTTATTTTTGCAGAACAATTGACATCTAATTAGCATGTTAAGAGCTACTTGTGTTTAGATATTAATCTGATATCTTTAAAAAATCTTATCAGAGTTATTTATTTACATAAGGCAGGCATATGCATAATTGTAATTAACTTATACCACTACATGATTCACCTCTCACATAATTTCTAGAACCATAAACATACACTCACTTGTTTATTCATTTATTCATTTAATAGCATGATGTATCAGAAACCATTTATTCTCTAAAATACACGAAGATTATCCACACGTCTCTGGAATGATGTCTGCTCCTCTATATTACTCCAGAACCCAAAAGTCAAAGTTTTTTTCAGGATGTATCCTAGTAAACAAAATTGCCCTTGCCTATAAAGCATCTTCCAACTTTTAATACCCCTGTAGCACTCTGATAAGGTTTTATTCTTAATACTTTGTGTTATAATATTTATGAGTTCATCATTCCCAGTAAACTGTGAACTTCCCAAAAATGATTTTGAAGACTTTATTTTAGTTTGTATATGCAGTTTATAACACAAAGTCTGGAAAGTAATAGACATCCATAAGGCCTATTAAAAAAATGAATTATCTACTGGTATGCTCAGTTGTTAAAATGTACACTTTAAGTCCCTTTAAATAAGAGTTAACTTGTGGAAAGTTCAGACTTTGTTATTAAACCTAGGGTGAAAAATATGGCTTATTCCTTCCCTAGCAAACACGGGCAAACTGTATAATATCTGACTCTCAGACATCTCATCCCTACAACAGGAATTACAGAATTACAGTATTTCATGAGACGGATATAAAAGTCTCCTAGCACAGTTAATGGCATGGAGTAAGCACATGGGAAAGGGAATTTTCCTTTTTTTTTTTTTTATGTAGAAACAAGATATACCTCAAAAATGAGATTACATTTGTAGAAGATCCACACCAGTCTTAAGTATTGGTCTAATGCATAGCCTCCGTCCAGCATCTGCTAAAAAGAAACAGTAAAGTGGAGCCATTCTTATGTCCACTTGGAATTTTCTGGTTACATGGCTCTGGGGAGCAATTTCTTTCACTTTGCGGAAGTTTCTTGGCCCTGTTTGCATGTGGCTTAGAGAAGTTACTTGGGTTTCAGTAGCTTTCTGCTGTTCCTTATGTCCCGGGGGTACACTGTGTTTTCTCTGACTCAGAACCAGTACTTGGAAGGGGGTAAAAATAGTCAGAAAGCAGTTTTTGTATCAAAAGGAAGAAAGTAGAGCTGAGCTAATTCCTGAACTGAAATCAGAAAGCAAGCAACGGCAAATGCTAGTATTTCTGTTGTTGCCCTCACTGGGGCAAACAGCCTCTTTGCTGGCTAAGAAAAGTAACAGAAATATGAGAGTTCCTATCCATATGAGACTTTACTTCAATGCATCATAGCACAGACACTGCCTTTGAGAAGGTGGTCAGTCTACATGTTTAAATTACCACCATGACTAGGACCTCAACATCTCATTTTTCAACGCCTTCTGTTTTTGGTTTGGTTATATGTTTACTTATTTGTTTGCTTTTTGTTTCTGTGTTCAGCAGCTTCTAAGTTATCTCCCAATAATGCCTACCTTCTCATATTCATGCCCTTGTGTTATCCCCCTCCCCTCAGGAATCTGGGCTGGATCTCGTGATTGGCTACTGAAGAACAGAATACAGAACAAAATAATGGGATATGACTTCTGAGATTAGGATGTAAAAAGAGTCTGGCTTCTGTCTTGTTCAGCCTCTCTTGCTTTCTCATTTGCTTATTCTGATGGAAGCCAGCTGCCATATTGCATGCTATTCCATGGAGAAGCCCACATGGCAAGGAAATGGGGGTGCATCCATCCAACAACCAGGGAGAAACTTAAGGCTCTCAGCTTAACAACCAACAAGAACTAAGTCTTTCCAACAAAAATATTTTCAAATAAACAAAAATGAAAATACAATATGTCAAAATTTGTGGGATGTAATAAAACAGTGCCGAGAGGAAAATTTATAGCATTTAATATTTATTTTATTTTATTTTAAGATTTTACTTATTTGAGAGAGAGTGAGTGAGAGAGAGCACAAGCCAGGGGGGTGGCAGAGGGAGAAGGAGGAGCAGACTCCCTGCTAAGCAGAGAGTCTGATGCGGGACTCTCTGCCAGGACCCCGGGATCATGACCTGAGCCAAAGGCAGATGCTTAACCGATTGAGCCACCCAGGTGCCCAAATTTTTATTTTAGAAAAAAGATCCATAATCAATAATATATGTTTCCAAACTTAAAAAAAAAGAATTAAAAAAAAACTAAAAAAAAAAGAAAAAAGTGAACTCAAAGAAAGTAGAATAAAAGAAGTAATAAAAACAAAAATCAATGAAATAAAAATAGAAAATAATATCAAGAAAATAAATGAAAACCTAAGTTGGTTCTTTAAAAAGATAAACTGATAAATATCTAGCAAGTCAGAAATAAAAGAATAAATAAATTATCAGTATTAGGAATAAATGTGCAAATATCTTTTTGAGATCCTGGTTCCATTTCTTTTGGATATATACCCAAGAGTTAGATTGCTGGATTATATGGTAGTTTTAATTTTGATTTTTTTTTCATTTTGATTTTTCTTTTTATTCCGAGTATGGTTGACACACAATGTTGCATTAGTTTGAGGTGTACAACTTAGTGATTCAACTTCTTTATATGTTATGCTATGTTCACCACAAGGGCGGCCACCATCTATCCCATTACATCTTTATTACAGTATCATCAACTGTATACATTATGCTGTGCCTTTTATGCCCTTGACTTAACCATTTCATAATTGAAAGCCTGGATCTCTCACTACCTTCCACCCATTTTGCCCTTCCTCCTACCCACCCCTACCCTCTGGCAATGATCAGTTCGTTCTCTGTATTTATAGGTCTGATTTTGCCTTCTGTTTGTGTATTCATTTGTTTTGTTTTCTAGATTCCACATGTAAGTAAAATCATATGGTATTTGTTTTTCTCAGTCTGACTTATTTAGCTTAACATAATACTCTCTAGGTCCATCCATGTTGTTGCAAATGACACAATCTCATCCCCCCCCTTTTTTTTTGGCTGTGTAAAATTCTGATGTGTGTGTGTGTGTGTGTATGTATGCACCACATCTTCCTTACCCATTTTTCTACTGATGAATGTTTAGGTTGCTTCCAATATCTTTGCAATATGCTGCAATAAACATAGGGGTACATGTATCATTTTTAAATATTTTATTTGAGAGAGAGAGAAAGAGAGAGCATGGTGGGGGGGTGGGCAGAGGGAGAGGAAAAACAGACTTCCTGCTGAGCACCGAGACTGCTGTGGGGCTCCATCTCAGGACCCTAAGATCATGACCTGAGCAGAAGTCAGATGCTTAACCGACTAAGCTACCCAGCTGCCCCAGAGGTGCATGTATCTTTTCAAATTTGTGTTTTTGTTTTCTTTGGGTAAATACTCCATAGTGGGTTTATTGGATCACATGGTATTTCTATTTTTAAATTTTTGAAGAACATCCATACTCTTTTCCACAGTGGCTGCACCAATTTACATTCCCACCAAAGTACACAAGAGTTTCTTTTTGTCCACATCCTCACCAACACGTATTGTTCTTGTCTGTTTGAATCTAGCCATTCTTACAGCTGTAAGGTGATATCTCATTGTGCTTCTGATTTGCAGCTCTAGTTTTGATTTTTTGAGGAACCTCTGTACTGTTTTCCATACTGGCTACGCCATTTTGCATTCCCATCAATAGTGTATATAAGCTTTTCAATTTCACTCTTTGCCAACATTTACCTTCTTTTTTCTTTTTTTTAATAATAGCCAACCTACTGGTGTGAGGTCATATCTCATTGTGGTTTTGATTTTCATTTTCCTTATGATTAATGATTTGAATAACTTTTCATGTACATGTTGGCTATTTGTATGTCTTCTTTGGAGAAATGTTTATTCAGGTCGTTTGCCTATTTTTTTTTTAAGATTTATTTATTTATTTTGAGAGAGTGAGAAAGAGAGAGAGAGAGAGTACATGACATGGGGGAGGGTCAGAGGGAGAAGCAGGCTCCTCGCTGAGCAGGGAGCCCGATGTGGGACTCGATCCCGGGACCCCAGGATCATGACCTGAGCCGAAGGCAGTCGCTTAACCGACTGAGCCACCCAGGTGCCCTCGTTTGCCTATTTTTGATTAGGCTACTTGTTTGTGTGTGTGTGTGTGTGTGTGTGTGTGTGTGTGTGTGTGTGTGTGTGTGTGAGAGAGAGAGAGAGAGAGAGAGAGAGAGAGATTGAGTTTTAGGAGTTTTTTATATATTTTGGAAGTTACTCATTATCAGATGGATGGTTTGCAGATATTTTTTTACCATTCTGTAGGTTGCCCTCTTACTCTGTCTATTGTTTCCTTTGCTGTACAGAAACTTTTTAGATTGATGTAGTCTCACTTATTTATTATTGATTTTGTTGCCTGTGCTTTTGGTGTCATATCCATGAAATCATTTCCAAGACCGATGTCGTGAAAATTTTCTCTTATGTTTTCTTCTAGGAGTTTTACAGTTTTAGGTCTTATGTTGAAGTCTTTAATCCATTTTGAATTGGTTTTTGTGTATGGTGGAAGATAGAGGGGGGTTGCCTGGGTGGCTCAGTCATTTAAGCATCTGACTTTTGATTTTGGCTCTGGTCATGATCTTAGGGTTGTAAGATTGAGCCCCACACTGGGCTCTGTGCAGGGCATGGAGCCTGCTTAAGATTCTCTCTCTCCCTCTCCATCCACCCCTCCCCACCTCTCTCTCTCCCTCTCTAAACAAACAAACAAAAAGGTAGAGGTCTGATTTCATCCTTTTGCGTGTGGACATCCTGTTTTCCTAGCATCGTGTTTTAAAGAGGCTATCCTTTTCCCACTGTGTATTCTTTACACCCTTATCAAAGATCAGACAATTGTAAATGCATGGGTTTATTTCTGAGCTCTCTAATCTATGTCATCCGTCAGTCTATATGCCTCTCTTTATGCCAACATCATACTGTTTTAATTACTGTAGCTTATAATGTATTTCAAAATCATGAAGTGTGATGCCTCTAGCTTTATTCTTCATTCTCAGGATAACTTTGGATATTCTAGGTCTTTTGTTATTTCATGCGAATTTAGGATTATTTTTCTATTTCTGTAAAAACTGTCTTTGGAATTTTCTTGGTAATTGAAATCAGAATCTGCACTGCCATATTTACTGCAGCATTATTCACAATAGCCAAGATCTGGAAACAACCCAAATATCTATAGACAGATGAATGGAGAAAGAAAATGTATTATATACATATAATGGGTTATTATTCAGGCTTAAAAAAGAAGGAAATTTTACCATTTGTGACAACATAGATGGACCTGGAAGACATTATACTCAGTAAAATAAGTCAATCACAGAAGGAAAAATATTGCATGATTCTACTTATAGGAGGTATATGAAGTAATCAAACTTAAAGAAGCAGAAAATAGACTGGTGATTGTTATGGGATGGGGATAATGGGAAAATAGGGAGTTGCTATTCAGTGGGTATAAAGTTTTAGTTTTACAAAGTGATTAAGGTCTAGAAATCTGCTGTACAACATTTTGCCTATATTTAACAACACATACAGTGATGTGTACTCAAAAGCTTGTTAAGAGGGTAGATCTTATGTTGAGTGTATAATCACCACCCCCCCGCCCCCGCAAAAGACACAGGAAGTCTTTTACAAGTGATTTTATCATCTTAGTTTATTATCTTGGTTGTGGTGATGCTATCAAGGTTGTATGCATAAGTCCAAACTCATCAAAATTCATTCATTATATATCTTTAATTTTTGTATCAATTATATCTCAATAAATCCATATGAAATATTAGGAATGAAAGAAAAGAGATCACTGCAGACCCCATAAACGTTACAGAATTTTAAGAGACTACTAAAAACAACTTTATATGCATACATTTAACAGTTTGCATAAAGTAGAACTATTTCCTGAAATACCACAAACTATCAAAATCCTAAGGATGATAGATAATTTGACTGTTGATAATTTGACAATTAAATTAGTATTTAAAATGTCATTGTTTTTTCCAGAGCTTTTGCAGATGAATTCAGAACTTTCCCATTGTATTACCCAGTGGCCGGTCTGGGAACTAGCAGTTGGTCTCTCCTGTAGGCTCATCAGTGCCCTCAGGGTTAGAGCCCTGCAAAAACAGCTCATGGGTAATCCCAAGTGTTCCTAAACAACTGTATATTGTCTGTTTTCCTGTGTGTTCCCCATGCTTTCTGGTTTCCCAGGGTCCTTCATTCAGAAACCTGAGGCCTCACTCTTTTTTTGCTATATACTTCCTACAAAAGCACCTACATTTGGGGCCACATAGTAAGAGGAAAGAGAGAAAAAAATGATCAGGGGCTTCATTCCACCCTCCTGAAATCAAAGTTCCTAAAATCAGAGAGGAATTTTCCCTGCCCTGAGAATTTTAGGTTCCTGTGGGCTCTCTTGGGCACAAGAAAAAGGAGAAAAGAAAATAATAGAAAATTTCTTCCACTCTCTGTGAACGTTTGGAGATGTCTTTCCCAGTGATCATGAGAAAACTATACAGGGCTTCTTTATCATCCCTCTTTGTCTGGGCAAAGGGCCACTTCTTGGTTTGGAGCTGCTTTGAGTCCATGCTGGAAGACATCAGAGGGGAGGAAAAAAAATGATAATTTTATTGTTTACTTTGAATTCTTGACTTCTTTCTCAATCAACCTGCTACTTTTTAGTTTTCAGAGTCCTCAAATAGATGCTATATTTATTCTGCCCAGGTTTTACAACTCTGTTCAGTGGGAGAAAAACACGTTTTTTCCTAAGATTTAACTATCTCAAAA